CCAAAAGTGCCTGTCATGTCCCTTATTCTTTTGCAGATAATACCTTGAGGTTTTAAAACCTTTGAGCTTTTTAAGCTTTGAGATCACCTGTGCCATGTCTTTTCCTCAGCCTTCTCCAACCGAACAGCTTCACGCAGGAGAGTGAATTGAAGGTTTTTCGGGGTTTTTGGAGCCAGGACTAAATGCATAGGAAGTGGGGAAAAAAGTCTGTGCAGACATAAATTTATTTCCCTTACCTCATTGTTCCTCTTGTCCAAGGGACAGAAGCAACTAAAGTCTAATCCATCCAGTTTATAGGGTGGCTTAGCACAATATGAGTAGTCTTGTGAAGAGATAAAATCTTATCTAAAGCTTTTGTTCAGAATTGGAATTTCAAAGAACTCTTTCTGCTCCCACAATCTCCAAAATAAAACATGGCAGAAGAGACAGATTCTTATGATTTGCAGGCCCTGCACTGGTTTCCTTGCTGCTCTTATGAAAAGGAAGATTCATCAAGAAACAAGACAGTGACAGTTAAGATGATGAAAGTATTGTAGTCTTCTGAGTTTCCTGGTAGAAAAGCCCATTGCTTCAAGAAAATGTATTTTTGTAGCAAGCTTAGTTCTGCATAGTCTGTAGGTGCCAGGTTTTCCTGTGCAAGGAGTAGAGGGGTAGCTGCACTCGAATGTCTTTAATCCTTGCGAACTGGTAACTGAGTCAATACTGCAGACTACTTTTTGATAACAAAAAGTAAATACAGCTGACATTACGTCCTTCTTTGAAAGAGTTCTACTTTCTATTTAGGCAGATTAGTTTCTTGTCTAAAACTTATCACTCTAGAGAGATAGTAATTATATTACAACATTCTGCTATTTTAGTTTATAAAATATTTGTAGGCTGTCTTTTTTTTTTTTCCTCTGGTTACTTTGTAGCTAGGATTTTAAAAATGGTAGGGGAGGGAAAGCAAAGAAAGTAGGCGTTGAGCATTGATATTAAATTTGTCTTAACAAATCTTACATTATAGTAAAAATACAGGCCAGGAACACTTTAACCATATCAAGTATTTTCTTTATTGAGGAATCTTTATCTTGGATATAAAATCATTTTGTCATATACCATTAACTTAAGAGCTGGATACCTCAGTGGGTGCTTTATAATTCCGAAGCAGAAAGGTGGAGGATTCTCTGGAAGTATTGCTTATCAGTTACTCTCTTGTGTGCTTTTTTGGATGTTTTAAACTGCAGTGTGGTGAGAAGTCTTTGTTACTGCCTAGGGAAGGTTGACAGTTGGAATTAAAGATCCTAGAATGGACTTACAGGTCTTTTCCAACCTTAATGATTCTAACTTCCTCTGCAGAGTTACTGTGGAGGTTGCATGTGTGCATTTACAACTCAGCTGTACAAACCTACAGGAATGAAACTATGGCTTTTTGGAGTCAAATGCATCAGTTTTGGATATTCAGCTTTAAACAGACATTATAATCAAACCAATTTGAAGAGCATGCTTTCTTAAGCCTGTCTTAAGAAATGATGCAGTGGAAAGCCAGAGTTGAAGACTATCTTATTTCACATATCTCTAATGGCAATGGCTGAAAAGTGAAGGTGGGTAAGCTTGCTGGGAAGTTTAGAGAAAGGAACATTCTGTGACCTGTTTTCAGTGATGCAAGACCTCAAGAAATGATCAGAAGAGCCCAGCAAGTAGCTGTACCCTAGTATCCGTGATAAAAGATTGTCATAACGTTTGTCCCTTAACCAAGTGTTCTGAGTGGTTTTATTCAGCTTCCTCCCACATAGGTCAGTTATCCTAGCAATTGTAAATTGAGTATATGAACTATCATGTTAGATTATATTGTCATCTAACAAGAGACAAAATGCTACAGGTGTCCAATTATAAGCATCAGAAGATAAACGCATGCATACCTCAGCTTTAAGGAATCCTGGAAGTAACTATCTGTATTATGGGTTTCTGCTGTGTAGAAGGGTTTTTCCTTTGTATCTTGCAGCTGGATTTCTTCAGTGTTAGGTGAGTTCGTAAACGGTTTCAAGACCAGATACCATCAATTTAGGGGGGAACATGTGAGGAATGCTGTGGGTTTCCATAGAACTTCTTGCTGTCTGGCAGCGGAGTTGTTCAGGAAGCTGTGAGCAAGCTAGGGGAGCACAAAGCTTGTCTGGAAGCTGTTAGAACTGGTAGATTCAGTGGCAAATGCTCATATTTTCAAGCTGTTGTCTGGTGTCAGATGCAACTTCGGACGCTTTCTGGTCTAGTGTGTTACTACTAGCCTATTTGTGCCAAATAATGGATTGCTGGTTCCTTAGTGAGCTGACATAAGTAGGACAAAGTTGGGGGGGGCATAGTCTGATAGCTAATAGTACGTGAAGTAGCTCTTCGTGTAATTGCTGTCTCTTCAAGTATCTACTATCAAATTTCAACATGGCATTATCTTTTATAGGACTTTAATAATAGCAGTTGTCAAGCCCAGGATGAATTTAGTATAGTGTACGTGAGCTTCAGTCCTGAAGTTGACTGTCAGCTCCCAGTAATATATTACCTTCCAAACTGTACCACCAAGAATTACTAGCTCAGGAGCTGGAAGTGCTGACTGTCTCCTTCTCCTTTTTTAGTCTCACTGCTGGTTTGTTTTTCAGTGGCTTCTCCATGAACTTGTAGTCCTAGTAGCACTAGACAACTTTCTGGCAGTATTGAATAAAACACAAAACAGTATCTGGCCTGATAAGGTATACACTTTCACTAGATTTTTGGGTGCTTTCTTGACATGAAGGTAGTAGTAAAATGTACTTGCAAACATCTCTTCAAAGAGAAGAGTCTTATTACACATTAAGGACTTATTTTATAAACAAATCATTCTTATGCATGTTTGAGAATGTTATTGTCGTACCCTTGCCTCAAAAGCAAAGCAACTGGTACTGTATTGTGTAGTGTTGGCTGCAGTAAGGCTCTTGGGTAACTCAAATACGGCTTCTGAACTAGGGTTACATCATACGGCAGCAGTTGTTCTTATGCTGGAATGTAAACTCCTGAGTAGCATGAACCCACAGCTGCAAAGGGAAGCAGGACACTGGGGCCACTGAAAAAGTAATCTCCAGGTCACTGTGAGAACACAGCTGCATTTCTGGCCCTGTTCTGCAATTACAATGAGACTCTTGGCAAGCTGTTGTATTGACATGGTGGGGATATGATATCGCTTTTGCTGTCCAACATCAGGAGCTGGTGGCTCCAAGCTGCAGAAATACCTGACTGTGTGGCCCTCAAAGTAGGGTGGGGAAAGGCTGGCCAAGCCTGCAACAGTTACAGTAATTTGGATATTGCTTGTTCAGTGAACCTATGTAATTGAAATGTCATCCGATTTCTGAATATTGAGTAAATGTGAGATCTTCACCCAAAGAACCAGCTTGATGTCATTTTCCTGTGCTTGATCTAATACAGTGAAAACAGGTCCTTTCCTCCCAGTCCCTGCTTTACTGGTCCTTAGCTATGTGAACCAGCTTGAAGGGCATTCCCAAATTCTAAGTTGGGACTGAGCTGCTTTAAATAAACCTCATGAAACGACCTCAAGCCTGTGAATGAAAAGATAGGTCACTGATTATATAGTCAAATTGGACTACTGCAAACTGAGCTATTAGAGGCTTTGTGTGAGAATGTTGGATTTTTTTAAAATTATGGCAAAAACTTGTGTGCACAGCTACTTAGAAAATTCTCCTAGAGCCATAGTCTTAGGCTGAAGAGGTATGCTAGGTGCTGAAGACCAGACCTGCTGAAGTATTCTCTAAATCCTGAAGTACTTCAGCTCCAACAGATTAGGTGTCTTGATTTCAGTTCACCCTCAGAGGTATGCACGCTTCCTGCAAAGAGCTGTGAACAGCATCTATTCTCTAGCTAACAACTGGGTGAATATACATGAATTTGCCCTTTGCGAGCAGTTACTAATTTTATGTCTTCTAAAATACTTATCTTGTAGGGAGAAATGGAACATAGTTCTGTTAGTCAAGCAGGATGTTTGGAGTGATCTCAATGGATAATGTGAACTTAATTGGATGCTACTCATGTGAAAGAGTGAGGATTAATCTAAAGTTAAGGGAGAGGGAAAAATGCATTACAAAAAACAATCCTCTTGTTCAGCTTATGTGCTATCTCATTAAATTCTTGTATAGTCTGGGAGCTCTGTTTACCCATTGCTAGAAGTGCCAGCTTTATTACCGTTCCTCCAATAAAAATGCAGATTCTTAGCTCTGAAAAGTCTGGCTCCGATAAGAATACGCTTATTGACAGGCTTGCTATTTCCTCTTGTCTCTTCAGGCAAAAATATATCTCCTGTTTATGGCCAAAGTTAAATTATGGTATGTTGTGACTTCAGTTACAAAAATCTTGATCCTATCTTTATTATGAGAAAGGTCGATTTGAAAACCTTTGCTAGTGTTACAGATGTACCATTTAAAACTCTTGCAGATCGTTTTGCATTTGAGGGATTCACCATACTATAAGAACAACTATTTCTAGTTACTGTTACTGGAATTTTTAGGTGGTGCTTGGTCTGTGAAAGTGTTCCCCCTTCTTCTGACTGTCTGTTGAAATTGCTTAAAGGGAAGGGGAAGAACACTTAAAGATTGTGCTAGTAACTAAAATGCCTTAATGAATTTCTTTCTGGATTACTGGGTAAATCAATAAGCTATTCCAACATGGAGAAGCTTTTTATTTTAAGACCTTGTTTTCTGATTTTTGCCTTAAACTACCAATAGATAGAATTTTCCAAAAATGTTCAGGAAACCAAGTCTTGGAAAGGAAATTATTTCGCATATTGATTATTCCTGCATTTCTTACTTCCTCAGTTATATCATATTAGCTGAATGATTCTTTTAGTGCCTTCTAGTCCTAACCAGGTTTTGTACTAAGCAGAATTAAATGTGTAGGCTTTCATTTTGTGAACTGTCTTCTAGTTTCAGCTCAAAATACCAATGAAGGGGTAATTCTGATGCTTAACTGGTATCTCTTATTACAGGGGGAAGATTCTCTTTAACGTGATTACTTACAAGTAATAGTTCCTCATCATGGCTGAACTATCGCCTGAAGAAATTCAGCTGAGGGCTAACCAGGTCACTGATGAGGTAAATGTTATAGGAGGCCATCTGGGATTACAGTACTTCTCTGCCAAGATTACAATATCTTTTTAAAATAAAGACAGTCAAGGGTAGTCAGTCTGCAGGGGTGTAGCTGAATGTTTTGAACTCTCACTTTACTTGGTAAATACTGGAGTGAAGGCTACTCCTAAAAGTAAGAATGAATTTAAACTTCTGAATTGTAAAGCCACCTATTTGACTGAGTACTGATCACCCAGTCTGATTACTGAGATAATACAGGCTGGGTACCTACACTGTTCTTAATCATGTTAATACTGCATGACTTTTTTTATTTAACTAAAATGCATTTTAATATATTTTCTTTTATAATGACTTTTCAATGGGATAAGCAAAGTACTAAAAACCAAGGCTTTACTAGCTACCTAGAAAAGCTCTAGTATGCTGTCACTATGACTGTTGTAGCATGTATTATATGGACAGGCTGATGAACCTTTGTATACTAGTTGACTTACTGCAATGAATTGGTAAAGTCTTTCAAGCACTAATGCTCTCATAAAATTCTCTTTCTAGTCTTTGGAAAGCACAAGGAGGATTCTTGGCTTGGCCATTGAGGTAAGGAAAAGCTTTTAAATTCCCTGGATATTTAATAATTAAACTGTAAAAAGCAGCATGTTAACTATCACAAAGTGATCTTAATCACTTCTTGTCTTTCTCAAACTTTTTGAGACATACACTTGATTATTAGAGTTTGCTGCTTTAATTCAGTTGTACGATTGGAATGACTTAAGCCTAATGTTTTTCACATTATGTAAAGTCAGATCAAAGAAGAATCAAGATCCTTTTTACCTGTTTTCCTCTTAATCAGAATGGCCTAATCTCCAAATGCTACAGATCAGTTATAAAAAGTCTATTGTGGTGATCAGTTATGGCTTTGGCTCCTGCATTGCTTGCTTCTCATAACATGTTACGTTTGTCTTTTAGCTTGCTTTGCCTGTGAACAGTGTGAAAATGTCTTGCTTTGAGGAGGAGGCTAGGGCTTAGTTGGGTGGAGTAGTAGAGGTTAAGGCTGCTTTTGGTTCTAAACAGAAGTAGTTCTACATACACCTTCTTACAACCTGTTCATCAGTTTTAACTTAAAAGATGGTAAAGTATGATGATGAAACTCTTAACACCTTTGTACATGAAATGAATAAATCTGTATTTTGGTTTTATCTAGGTGACATTATATGAGGAATCTCTTCCTCTACACTGTTACAGCTTGTATGCGCCATTGTAAAAATGGCTGAAAGTTTACTTTTGAAACTGTGATTTCAAAAACTATAGAGCATCCTGTTGGTACAGAGTAAGATAAGATGGTTGATAGTCAGGTCTAGTAGACTTAACAAAGCTTAACTGATTCAGCAAGACAGTTTTGCTCATACTTGGATATTTCACAGACAAATGTGAATCCAGAGACTAGGCAGAAATGCCTTTCAAAGCTAATGACCAGACTTTTAGTGCTGAAGACTTGACACAATTTATTGTCAGTGTGAGAACACTAAAGAATAATCACATGAATAAGGACCCTAAAGTGTTTCCTCATTACTGCTTTAGAGCATGTACTTGCTGTCCAGACAGCAGCAGGCTGCTGGGGAGCTGAAGATGCTACAGTTACCAGTGAGGCATTTGAATCAGCATAGCCCAATGAATTACCTCTCAAACAGACATTAAGAACATGTAATGACCCAACATGATTTCTCTTGGTATCATAATTTGGTGATTCATAAGAACTAAAATAACTCCTACCATAGGCAGCTCTATGCTGCCAGTTCTGTGCAAAGCATGGGTGTAACTTGGATGCTAAATTCAAAACTTTGAGCCAGCAAAGGTCAATACTGTGGTATATTTCTTTTGCTTGGTTCTAAAACTAGTGATGGGCTATTCTCTTCCTGATCTCTTCTACTGAATTCTTGAAAATGGTTTTGTAGGCTTGGTTTTACTTTCCTTTATTCTGACTTCCAGGACTAAGGTTGGTGTCAGCCCTATTGAAGAGTGTAGGGATAAAGAATGAGCTAAATCCCACTTTGCAAAACAAAACATGGCTAGGTTTACTCTTTTAGCTTGATGTTATCATAGTTCAATCTGAGTATTACAATAAATTTTATTATATTGTTGTAATGTAAAAAAAACTCACAAAAACCACTGAGATAGTGTAACGTGATATTATCAGCCTAGCACGGGATCTAATTTGAAACTTAACTTCTGTAGTAAAGCTGCGTATTCTTAGCACAGTGTTTTATTATGAAATTTACTATTGAGACTTGATGATTTTGCATTGCTGTATTGAAATCCGTTCTCATATCTGCAAATAAATTCATTTCTGCAGTCCCAGGATGTTGGCATCAAAACTATCACCATGCTGGATGAACAGGGAGGTGAGTTCTTCCTTCTTCCTCTCTGACACTAAAAGTCAATTTTATGACAAAGAAAAAGGATTATCATTCAAGAGTTGTTGCTGAAACTAAAGGCGTATTAAAGACTACTTATGTGAAAATGACATTTGCTAATTGATCATTCCCAGGTGTTTGTAGTATATAAAAGAGGTTTCGAAGTACTTGATAGACCATGTTAGTTACACTGTAATACAGCCTCTGCTACAGCAGTTGTTCCTTTCCACCATAGCATGAATGTAACTGTCTGCATTTATTCTAAAAGCAGCAACAGGTGCTGCTCTAAGGATAGGGAAAATACTTTTAATGTAGTAAACAAAACTTAATAGTTTTCTTAAAAAATTAAAAAAAAAAAAATCCTGGAAGACAGGAAAGAAAAAAGGTATTAGTCTTTGTGTAAAAATAATGCTGAAACTTTTAAGTTCCTGCTTGAAATAAATGTTAATATCCCACACCCACCTTCCCCCAGTCCGTGTTTATTCAGGTTACTTGTTTCTATTATAGAACAACTAAATCGCATAGAAGAAGGCATGGACCAGATAAATAAGGATATGAGAGAAGCTGAGAAGACGCTGACAGAGCTCAATAAATGTTGTGGGCTCTGTGTCTGTCCCTGTAACAGGTCAGTTAAGTTGGTACTTAGGTCTGAAGTTCTTGAATAGCTACTGTAGAGGGAGATGGTCTCCAATAAAAGACCTAATGAAAAAATGCTGAATCTCTAGGAAAGTCAACTGTTTTGGTTTGTAGAAGTGCACCACTTAAAATTGTATGAGAGGTGACTAAAGCTGACTTGCATCTAACCATATATTGTGCTCCTTTCACTGTATAACGTTCTGTACAATTGTGCCCTAATCTCCTTAAAACTTATATTTAAGTAGAATATTATCAATGTCCATACAGGTGAGATCAAATTGGACTGCAAATAGCTATATGTAAGTGCCTGTCTGTCAGAAATTTTACTCAAAAAATGCTTTTTTTTTTTTTTCCACAAAAGTACTTTTGTACTAACTTAAAAGCAAGAAAACTTCTGTACTGGAGAAGGAAAGTAATATTGGTTCTTCAGGCATCTTAAAAATGTTCATACTTTGGGGAGGAAGAGTAGGAGAACAGATGTTGGTGTTAAAGCTTTAGTCTTTCACTAGTGACTGTGTAAATTCTTGCTGACCTTCTTCACAGTACCTCTATAGCATCACTGGATTTGTACTTCTAAACAATGATCAGAAATCAGTATTATAAGGAAAACAATTATTTCTGGAGGTGTGCTAGCTTTGTCTTTAAGCAGCAAAGTATCAAATTGATTTGTGTGAATTGGAGGAGAGACCTTATAGCAGCCTTCCAGCTAACCTGAAGGGGGCCTACAAGAAAGCTGGAGAGGGACTTTTTACAAGGGCATGTAGTGATAGGACAGGGGGTGATGGCTTTAAACTCAAAGAGGGTAGATTTAGATTAGATAGAAGGAAGAAATGCTTCACTATGAGGGTGGTGAAACACTAGAACAGGTTGCCCAGAGAAGCTGTGGCTGCCCCCTCCCTGGCGGTGTTCAAGGCCAGGTTGGATGGGGCTCTGAGGAACATGGTCCAGTGGAAGGTGTCCCTGCCCATGGCAGGGGGGGTGGAACTAGGTGATCTGTAAGTTCTCTTCCAACTCAGTGTTCTATGATTCTATGATCATAGTTCTTCCAAGTGAAGGAGAACGTTCAGTGGTCACACTCAAAATAATTTCTGAATAGTGTGTGTGTTTTCATTTTTTAGCCCTTTAGCATAAGCAAAAAAAAGCCCTTATCATTCAACTGAGAGTAGCAGAAGTTTAGGTAAAAATTCCTTGGAGTAGCTGAGTCTTCTTATCCAACAGAATAATACTTTGAGGATCACTTAGGATAGATCTGAATGTAAATTCTAAGGCTGAAAGTCTTAGAGCTGTAGTACATTGAAAAGGCAGATGGTTCTGTCCTGGCTTCTGGATAGGTGTGCTTACTGCTTTTATATGCTTTATCAAGCTGACAGACTTTGAGCATTTTGACACAGTCAGTCTTTGTTTTCTGTAGTTGACAGCCTTATTTCACTGAAGCTAAGCAGCTTAGTGACACTGAGCAAGCTCAGAATTTGTGAACTCTTGTGGAACTCCAGATACAGATAACAATAAAAGAAATAGTGAGCTGTGTACTGAAATGGGCAGTAAAGTGCAGAAAAATCTACTAGATAAGTAGAGGGCAGTGAAGAAGAAACTGTGAATGCCATTCATACCTCTACTGGTACATAATTTTTTCTGTCAAGGTTGGAGTTATTTGTCAATCAGTTATCTCCAGAGCTTTTAATTTTTTTGCATAAAGCTAAATCAGAACACTTGCTGAATTAAATATTGCTTTTCTCATTTCTCATAGGCTTACATGATTTATAAAAGCTTTGTGAAAACAGAAAATACTGGCAGTACTCTAATCTATGTACTAATAACAATTTACCGGTTTGCTTGTCTTTACTATTCTTTCTTCTCCATTCTCTCCTAACACTGATGCTTGCTTTCTAAAAATGAAGACTAGGATAAGAAGCTGTATTCATTTAACTGGTGAAAGCGGATTTTAGGACAAGGTCAGTCTTACTAGTGCAGATGTACATTTAACCAGCTGTCTGAAATGATACTTCTATTGGATTGTGCTTGCATGTGCATGATGTCTGCATGGAGGTCTCCTTGTGACTGTGTGTTGTAATACTGATGCGAATAGAAAATGTCAATTACTATAGAGTGTGTTAGCTGTGGAAATGTTGAATAACTGCTTGAGCCCTGGCTGTTTTGACAGGTTGCATAAATTGCCTTAATCTTACAGAAATGAAACACGAGACAAGTGAATGTATAGTGATTTGGAAAACAGGTCTTAAAATCAGGTGGTGAGAAGCTTTGTTCTTAACTGTGCTTAGTTTGAGCAACAGTTCTGCTTCTAGCTGTCTGCTTCAGATGTGCAAGTAATTTTTCAGGCCACTTGTTTTTGTTCAATAAATTCCGCACAGATGCCTCTGGCACCTAAGACTTTGCCTTTCCAGAAGCCAAGCATACATAGCTCTCCTGCTGTTGTGGCTTTAGCATGAATGAGATTAAAACATAATGTTCAATCTAGTTGCATTGAACCTAGAGAGATCTTTAAGCCTGGAAATGCACAAGGAGCGAGAATTGACTGGTTTAGGTTTCTTTAGGGTTCTGCTGGGTACAACAGTTCCATTTTGAACTAAGCGATTGTTCCATTACTTCCCTTTGATGTATTTGTACTAGATTACTTTTCATAGGATCTGACCTATGAAATACCACTTCGCACTTTGATTACATAAATGCCAGAAGAATGAGGGAAATATTTGTTTACAGCTAACTTCACACCTCTTCAAATGTTCAACATCTGGGCTACTGAAAGGCACTATAGATACAGAAGTCAATTAACTGTAGTTATGAAGTTAGATGTACTGAAAAACACTACAGATTTCCCTTCACAGGCTTTTAAAGAAGCAGAAAAGTGGCAGTGGAGTCTGGATTATCTAGCTTAAACCTGAAAATGCCAGCAAACAAGGTGAACGTGAGAATATTCTTCTCAACGTATGTTGTTTAGGGTTTACAAGTACTGACCCCAATTTAGATCAGTTATTTTTCTGTTATACTTTATTCCCCTCTTGCTTTCGTGGGTCTGTGATTCTTGAGATAGCTTCATGTCCATGTACTTGCTTTAATTTTTTTCTCTTCTGAATTGTGTAGTAGTAAGTTGGTTTGTCGCTTTAATGGCATTAGTATGATTGAATTGTGGAATGAAGGAGCTATTCAAACATGATTACTGTTATTTTGTAATCAAAATTAATCTGAGAAACATTAACCTTAAAAAGAAAGACTTGGCAACAGAAAATGTTCAACAAAAACCAGCAGAGATTAATGGATTTCTTGCATAGTGTAGCTACTTGGATTTTGGAGAGTTTTTTCCTTCATCCCCATTTCTTCCCTGAGAAGTAACTATCCTGACTCTAGACTAACTCCTGTTGTAAATGCAACTTTATCTATGACAGTATAAGCTTTTCTGGTACTGTCATAAGCTTCCCCTCTTCTGGTAAAGTATATTACTTTAAGGAAATTACTGTGCTTGTATTAAAGCTTAAAACCAAGTTAATCACTGTTCCTAGGCTAACTCAGTTATGTTTGTACTATCCCAATATAAGAAATTCTATTGTGTAGACAAGGCTTTGCATATAGAGTGTCTGATCTTTCAGGCACAAGACAAATGTTTCTGAAAATCCTAGATTAATACTGAATTTCAGTCAGGAAACCGTATTTCTGATATAGCAGTTCAGATTTCTTATTTTTATGGAGCAGGACAAAAAACTTTGAGGCTAGCAAGGCATACAAAGCAACCTGGGGAGATGGAACAGAGAACTCAGCAGATCAGGTGATATCAATGCAACCAAGAAGTATAAATCAGCGGCAGCCTCAGACTTCTGGAGGACCAAGTGGTGGATATATCACAAGGTTTGCTTTTTTGTATTTCTCAGTCTCAAATACAGAAGTCCTAAGTTACCAGTTGTCAGCTTTATGGATTCATTTAGGTGAAGCTGCTAAATAGTAAGTGTTTTACTACTGCTTGAAGGAATTTTTACTGTTTGGTGAGGACTTCTCAGTACTGTAGTGCTCACCTTACACTTTGAAAAATAAAAGTGGGATAGTGTGGTATTATCAGCCTATTTTGGGATGTGAGGACTATGGAGCTTACTGCTGAGTTATTACAGGGACTGTTAAAAATATGAAGGACTCCTGTTGTCATAAAGTATGTTTGAGACACTCATGTCTTAAACTTCCTCTGGTAGCTGTTATTTTAAATTATAAGGCTATTTTTGTAGTAGCAGCTAGCTTAGCACCCTTTTTTTGGTGAGCTGCTTGCTTGGAATACATAGGGCTTTAAACGGGGGAAAAACATACCTTGGCTTGAACATATTGCCTGTCAGATAACTGTGCAATAAACAATTTCTATTAAAGTAAATTTAGGATAAGGAAAAACAAGTTCTTGATTCTTGGAAGCATTCTCTTAATTATTTGAACAGGATAACAAATGATGCCAGAGAAGATGAAATGGATGAAAATCTTGCTCAAGTGGGAAACATTCTTGGGAATTTGAAAAACATGGCTTTGGATATGGGCAATGAGATTGATGCCCAGAATAAACAAATAGACCGCATAAATGTAAAGGTAAGTGTCAGAGGTGTTCTCTGCCTTCAGCTTACAGCTTGTTACTGAGAAGTTATAAAGAATGGGCTCACTGTCCTATCCACCTGTATTTTCAGTAAATATGCATTAAGATTATACCATCCTATAGGTTTCAGTGATTTGAACAAGAGCTGTATCTTGGTTGTTTGGGTATGTGGATGAAAATGCAAATCTCCAGGGTGTCAGGAAACCTAAAAATACAGTACAAGTCACTGCTTACTCTGCAAACAACTGAAGTTGGTTGATCAAAAAGGCAGACATTTGTTGGAGGTATAACTAGGGGATTATTATTCGCAGGGAATGTTACAGGTGGTAGGCAATAGGTGGTATTAACAATAGTAAGATTCTTCTGGAATTCCTAAAAATCACAATAATCGTTGAATGTAAAATAAAACACAGGTAATTCATTGCCCTAATTCTTGTGGATTGGTTAATACGGGGACTGGAGAGACTTTGGAGTGATAGGTTTTGTAGGTGTATGGGGACATGGTCTGCCCTCATCTGCACATGAAGTTAGTTACGGCCAGTAACATCTTTTTTTTAATTTTGTTGCTTTAAAGATTAACTTCCCCAAATAGATTAATTGTATATAAATATGTTTGGGGGGGTTTCTTTCAGAGGGCAACTTAGGAGGAAGTTAGTCATATTTTAGAAATCCCCATATTCTGAAATGAATAGAAGTTCTTTTACAGGCATGCTGGTTACGGAAGGAAATAAAAGCTTTAATGGATAGTGTCTATTAAAGACTTTAATAAAAAAAAAAGCAGAAGTGGACACCAGTTGCTGTAAAATTACAAAATTAAGACAACATGTGGTGTTAAAGATATCACTTGTGTTAATGGCTTTTGCTGAGAGGAGCATCTGGTAGCTAGATCAATGTGTTTCCAAAGTGGTGTTAACAGCTTAGGCTGTCACTTTTTTTATAGTAGACTCCTGCCCCTCACCAACCCTTACCCGAAGGGCAAGAATGAAACAACAGGGGGGAAGGGCTTGAACTGGCAATGTCCTCTTCCCAGCCCATTGCTGTATGAAAGTGTGAAAAGGCCAATACTTGGCACAGGTAGAGCTTCTCAGGTGCTCCACTCCTTCTGGTGAGGGCAGAGGCTAGTTTTGTACTTATTACCCTGCCTGCCTGCCTGTGCCCCACCACAGGCTGGATAATCAGGGAGTTATTTTGAAGCTCCTTATTGTAACTTTCAGTAAAACTGTATTTTGACACTTGTTCAGCATAGATGCTGTAGTTGACTTTTTTGATGTTTTATAAGAGTAAAACAATTATAAAGTGCTTTTCTTACAGATACCATACTGTTGTGGCACTAGGAAACTGGAGGGTTTGTGGATGAAAACCAGGGATTTGCACTAAGCAAAACGATTCTGACTTTATGCCCATAGGTCACTTCCAGTTTTGATTGTTACTTCTAGACCATAGCAACAAAGTTGCTTTGTAGAGGTGCTTAAGATGTCTTGGAAAGAGGGCATTTTTAGCCCCTTGTGCTGTTAATACTCTTCCTGACTTGCTGAAGCAAGCTGCTGTGTGTTTTGAGGGTCAGCTAAAGACTAAAAACTACTTCTCCTAATTCTGTATCTGCCAAAATTGACAGCCTATGCTGGCTAAAACAAAAAGAATTATAAAATGATTTCTAGCTTATAAAAATTGCTCTTCTGTCTACCACAATGATAATACTCTGCAATTCAGAAGTTTGTGTCAGTTGAATTTTTTAATTTCGCATTAAGTCTGCAAATGACCTATGAATTTGTCTCTTTCAGGCTGATACAAACAGGGAACGCATTGAGCAAGCCAACGTCAGAGCCAAGAAACTAATTGACAATTAATGCCTGCTGTTGTTGTTCAATGACGCTGTCTCTCCAGCTGCAGGCCACCATATTCATGGATCTGTGAAACTTCTACTATTCTGAAATAAGAGGGGCTGGGAAAAATGAAGCAATACCCTTTTTATAGGGATTAATCTTCTTTTTTTTTTTTTTCATTGCTTCATATAGACGTGGCCTTGACTCTAAGAAAGCAGCCAACATAATTTCCTCCTACTCATCTGCCTTCACTTTTTCTTTAAACTGCTCAGGGCTAAAAGTGTCATGGCTTTGAGAATCGTCTTGCATGTTTTATTCTCCCTCCTAGTCTCTTTTTTTTCCTGCACCCAAAATACAGTCCTTTATTCAAGTTGACCAAGCAGGGTAACCTGAATTCACAGTGGTGGAAAGTTGGAGAGGGCACTTTGCACTGTTTGAAATACCTCATAAGTTGAGTGTCTTCACTAAATACGGACTTGATGAATATTGTTTGATTTGTATCCCAAGCAGGCTAATCGTAGTTTTACAATCCAAACCACGTGATTGTTTTGGGGTTGAGTGTGTGGATTACAGAACTGAAGAGGCCCACTACTACTTGTGGGTTGAGGGCTTTAAAACACTTCCTAAGCACATGAACCTTAATGTAAAGGTAACTGGAGGGGTATACACATCTCCATTTCTTTACTGTAAATTGACATTGGTTTGGAGGCCATGACTATGAAATTATGCTGCATTGTTCTGATAATATTTGTTGTGTGTATATACCTGATCCAAACTTCATGCACATGTGATTAGAAGAAAGTAAAACCATCACCCTAAAGTATTTATTTCATGGAAAATTTTATGCCCCTCATAAGTTAACTTTTAAGTGTTTTTAACTGGAAGATACTGAGTAGAAAATCACGCAGCTTTCTTGCATTCTGTATCAGATTATTTTGACCTGTTTTCACTGGAGTTCAGTTTATGGCTTTTTCCAGTGCAAAATAATGAGTGAGATCTGGTGCAGCGTTTGTTCTCAGCAGTGACTTTGGGGGAGCTTCTTAAATGTACTGAAAACAGAGAGGCTTATTATGAAACTTCTTTGTCATAAGTCTGGAGGAAGCAGTACCTATTTAAGAACTGCATACTAGTTCTAACTAAACTGGTTTATAATTGCAGACTTTGGGACTGGCAATTGGAAATCTTACATGTCCAAGTGTCTTGCAACTAAAATGTTCCTCTTCTGTTGCAGAATAGAGGAGTTTCTGGCCAGGTGAGGTAAAGTTTTTTTTCCTATGAAGAGGAAAACCATTTTGGTTCTACTGTAGTATCATCAGATTTATTCCCAGTATTTTCTTGAATTTTTTTCTTGGCAAATAAAATGCAAGTGACCTGTATAATTTTAACTCCTCCCAGCAATATATTATGCCTGTTTTAAAGGTGGAAATAATGCTTTGGACTAATCTGGGATACTCAATGTTGGATGGCAAAAATCTTCAAACCAAATAGATTGGAGGAATAATTATAACTAATAGCATTATGGGGTGGCTTTTTGGAAGGACACTCCACAAGTATCCTGTCGTCATTTATAATAAATCCCAGGGCTAGAGAGATGACACTAATCTGCTGGAATGTAAGAGAGTGTTAAGTGTTTTGTTTTGCTTTAATTTTCCGTAGAAATACAATCAATATTACTAGTATATTCTCATTTCACCCCCAGGACAGACTTGATATTTAAGGGGGGGTGAGAAACCCTGACCCACAAACAAGGCCCTGCTGCCCCCAAACCCTGCCCAAAGGGTGGAGCTGCTGTGTGTAATAAATAGGCCAGTGGTAGACTGTCTTATGTGAATAAGGTGAAGCCATTTTTAGGGGACTGGGTACTTCAGTAGTGCATGTTGGCTTCCATCTGTCTTCCAGTAATTGTTGGAAAGCTAATAATTTTAAAAGCTCGTTATTTACCCCATTAGTAATGAAAATTATGTGCTTAAAACCACAAGTAGTACAGAAATACTTTCAAGAACATTGCATAGTAAATTTCTAACAACCACTTGCGTGGGAAGGCATAGGGGATTTGTATGCTTTTCTTTTCCTTCTTACAAACTTCCGGTTAACTGAAGGAATGCTTGCTGCTGGTTGTGAAAGCAAAGCATACATGATTTAATTACGATTGTCTCCTGAAAAGGAAGACTAAAGCAGTTATCTTATTCTGCTTACAACAGTGCAAACCTGCTCTGTAGCATCTGGACATTCCAAACACTGGAATGTTTTTCTCCCTTGCCATTACAAGCACATGTTCTTGACTTCCCTGAGCTCTAACAACAAATTAGCACATTGGCTGAGAGAATGCTGTGATTAGTATATCAGAATCGTAATACTGCGATGAATATCACACAAGGAAATAATTTCTGAGACTCGAAGCTTGAGTATTAGTGGAATATCAATACTATTTTCTGATGCAGCAAGAGCCAAATCCATGAGGGAGTTGGTGCCTTTATGTTAGTGAACAACTCGGTCTGCTTCTTGGATTGTCTTACTGTTGTCTGTAGAATAGATGCTTAATTTCCATATCTATGGGATGGAATCAGCACTTGTACATCTTTTGTATTTCTGAATGCTATTAAGAATGAAGGTTTACAGTTTCTGCTTTTGATTGTTAAACTATATATTGTGCACAAAAAATACATACTTTTATAACTGAATGTGTTTTAAAAGTATTTTCTCTTAGAAATGTCTCTCTTTTAGTTTCCTGTCCTTGAAAAACTTGGCAGAACTAATTGCTACTATGCAGCTAGAAGTTTCCCTTCTATTTTTATTTCACAGAAATCCTAATGCTAACAAAGGAATGGGTGTGGTTTGGAAGAGAGGAATATTTTGGTGTGTTTTTAACACTCCAGTTTCCATCCCTGCATAACCAACTTCACATAACGTCAAACTATGAAATGTGTCCATCTCTTCTTTGAAAGACTGATTTGACATGGGGCTATACTTCAGGATGATAAAGGAACTAAGTGGAATAAAACTCTCCAGTCAAGGAGCAGTAACAGATGCCTAGCAAATATGTTGTCCCATAGGTGAAACCTAGTGATGTGACCTACTGCCAACGCAATTTAGAATTGTATTTTCTCTGATACTGGAGCCTCAGAGTCCCAGAATGCTCTTGGGAGTGGGGGTTGGGGGAAATACAGGCTTGTGTTGAATTCTAGCAGTTGGAGATGCAGGAGAGAATAGCATATCTGGGAATGGTGTGGAAAAAGTACTTCTCATACTACTGTGGGGTTGCTTAGTATACTTCTAGTAACTAGGAAAAAGAAAATTAGGGACAGTCTGTATATGTAACCATTCTGCCAGAAACTACATGTGTATACTGTTAACTAGGGGAACATTTTCTATCTCAATTTCAAAACTAAAAAGCTACACCTATAATTATAGAATCATAGAATTGTTAAGGTTAGAAAAGACCTCTGAGATGATCAAGTCCAACTGTCAACCCAGTACCACCATGCCTGCTAAGCCATGTCCTGAAGTACCATATGTACACATTTTGATTGCCTCCAAGGATGGTGACTGCACCACTTCCCCGGGCAGGCTGTTATGCATGGACATAAAACTTTCATAGTGTTACCTGCAGAGTGGGGCAGGATGAGAATGGAAAACTGAGAAACACAATATAAAACTAATAATAGATTATGCGTAGTGCTGAAATGTACAGAACAGTGTTGCATTAAGTGACTTGGTAACAGTTACATATTGCTATGACTTAAGAATATATGAGGGAGTCAGAAAGCTTTTTTTTTTCCTTCCTTGAAACAGAAATACTCTGACTCCTCCGAAACAAATCTGGCCAATCCAGGACTAACTCAGTACCATTCAGTATTTTGCATGTTTTTTTCTCCCTTTGCTTTACAAAATTTTTGATAGTTGTCATAACTCCAAGGTAGCAAAGCAATCTAAGAGTAATTGCGGTTTATAAATGTCCTAACTAAATGTATACATAAACCAAAGAAATACTGATTTACCTCAAATACTTTCAATGGCTGTAAAAATTTAATACCAATGCTAACTTCATAGTTTTTAAATGTTCTCATGTACTATCTGTTCTTATACATCTTTGTTGACTAGTCAGAGACAACAGACAAATGTTAAACTTGTGAATCGTCTGAGAAGAGGTATTTCCTGTTTAAAAAAAATCCACAAACCACAGTACAGTGGCAAGTGCATACATATTGGTGGTAGACCACTCCTTTGTAGGTGCCAGAGTTGGCGAGCTGCTCCTTTCTCATGGAAAGGGGGAATCTGCCAACTGAGGGGCTTTGTTCTGTGGATGTCTCTTGAATGGCAGATCCCTAGCCACAAAAAAGCAAATACTTCAAATGGGATTCAGGTATCAAACAGAAGGAGCTGAACTTAAAACAACCCCTGGGCTTTAAACTCTTCACTGCTGAATTCTTACATGTCACTCTGTGGAGTGTACTAGTATGAAGCTGAATAGATTTATGACTATACAGGGCCTTTCATTACAGTAACATAGAAGTTGTGTTCTTAAAGCACTCCCCTAGTCATGTCTTGCAAAACAAAGTAGCCTAGTAAAACACTGTCTGCTGTTAGCTACTTCTTCCAGGGAGACAGTTTTTCCATAAAGTAACACCTGGAATGGGGGTTCTTAAGTAAAAATAGTTCACTGTCATCCATCCTTTGAATAAGGAGCTGATGTTCCCCAAAACATTCTTACTATGTAAGAATTGAAATAAGACATCACCAAGTTCAAGCAACTAGATACCTCTTCTGAGCATCTTAAAAAAAAAAAAAAATACTGCTAATCTTAATTGTAGCTACTACATTGAGGAAAAATATTGGCACAGAGGTCACCTTTTCTTAACTACAGATGGAATAAGACACTGAATACACTTGATGATTACACCAGCAACTTTAAGGATTTTGCTAAATACTTTTCTTGTCTCATGTAGCAAAGCTTAAGTACAGGAGTTAATGTATGATTACCTGTAAGATAGTCTCGGTAGGAATAGATGCATCTATGCTTATCTTGCCAAGAAGCGTACTTAGTACAGCTCCTGCTTCACTGAATTAACACCAAAGTGTTGACATACTCAGATCCTCTGCATTCTCAAAGGAGTTGAAGTATAGCAGTTACCAACAACAGATGGAACCAAGTACCTAAGCAATGGCTTGCAGTGATAGCTTAGTACTACTTGTTACAGTGACAAAAGCAGCAGTTGCACCAAATAAACCGGAACGGGTTTTCTGAAACTGATTTACTAAAATGAACAAGTACATTTTGCTTTTCAGTATAAGTTACATAATTGCTTATATTTTTAGCTTTTTCTAGGTTCTTCTGGTACTAAGGCACTAGCAGTAAGCTGACAACTAAAACTTTCAACATTGCTCTGCACACAAGGAATCAGTGCAAGGATATTTTCCGGCAAGACACTGAAGGTGAACCGCATTTTTATTGGATACAGCTCAAGCAGAAGTGGATTGTAGTGCAATTCTTGCTTATGGGAAAGGAAAGCCCGTACAGTAAAATATGAAGGATGCTCAAACTATGATTTGCTTACTGGAAGCAGTCAATAAAACACTTAACCACAACTATTTGTGCTTCATAGAAAAAAAAAAACAGGTTATAAACTAAAGCCTCATCTATAAAAGTTCTTCTCTGTACAATAGTGTTTACTGCAAGACATACAATGTTTCAGATCTGCTTTGGTGGTAGAACTTCCATGTGCTATCACAGAAAAGTGTTTCCAGGAGAAATAATCCTTGCAAATCAATAGCCAGCTTCCTGACAAAAGGGAACTGGCAACCTTGAAACGCTCATTCCTTTCCTCTGTGAAATAACGAGCCTGACAAAGGAGAACATGTGTTAAAAGCTATAGTGGCACAAAAATCAGAACTGGCCCCTGGGCAGGTTCATCAGTTCAATACCCATGTTCTCTAGTTCAAGTTTATTCAATGTAGCATTAACAGATCATATCAGACTACTACAGGAGGAGTGCACTGATCATCTCCTTCATCAGTCTTGGTTTAAGTCAGTGAAGCAGGTGTTTCAGTCACTAACTCTTCTTACTGGGAATACACAGGGTCAGAATAACGATCATGCAAACTTCTTCTTTGTAGCTGTAAATCGTTCCATGTACTACAAAGAAATAAAAAAAAAATTCTAAGATTCAGAAATTAATAGAAGATTCACTATTGAAAGCAGCTAAGGTTCTGCACTCAGACTCAAAAGCACTCTGTATCTAAAACATATTTGCATTTCCCAGGCACAACCATTAGAGCTTTAATTTTAAAAAAGAAAAAAAAACAAAAAACTTTCTGCCATTTGTTGTAATTCAGATTAACATTCTAGAAAGTCCTCACAATGCTGAGCAGTCAGATCTCAAATGTTAAGGATGAACTAACGTTAAACAGTTAAGAATACTGCACAACAGGAAGCTTTCATTATTTTTTAGCTCAAAGTGAAGACATGCTCCTTCACACACCTGTCTCATTAGCTACCCTTCAAAAGATGCTGATGGAAGAACACTGATCCTGAATCCTATGAGAAAGAAGTTAATCTCTGAATAACTGTTGAAATTTTTTTCAGAGGTTAGTTATGAATCCAGTACCAGTGACAATACCAATAGACTGTGCTTTTATTCACCAGCATAAAAGCTTACTATTATGAGGAGGTACAGACACAAACCTTGTCATAACCTTCCAGTTCTCTGAGTTTCTTGATTTCAAAGAGGTTACCTTCTACTGCAAGCAGTGAGATCTGGGAATCGCTGAGGATACTTTGAGGAAGCATACTGAGTTCTAGACAGTTCTCTTCTAAACGCAAGACTTTGAGGCGTGGACAGTGGGAGATCTGCACTGAGATCTGGGAAATCTGGTAGAAATAAAAAAGCAAAGCAAAAAGGGATTAAAATGTTAGTGATCCGTGATTTCTTAGTGATTTGTGTTTCAGACTAATATGACACAATTATGTTGTAAACTACGTTAACAGTAACTAGTTAACAACAATGCGTCAACAACAATAATAATGGTCAAAAAATCCAAGTAACTACTTCTTCCATGATGACAGGCAATCTACACATCTGTGTATCAGATTGCTACTCAAGAGCTATTCAAATAATTTTTTGTATGATTAAATTCAGGATTTTTTAGTCTTATCAGGCAGTTGGATGTATCACTACACAAATTCTTGTTATGGTCCCTCATTTCTGTTGTGTCCAGGAGATGTCTTTTAGCTGTAAAGTTTTGATAGTCTCAGCTTATGTTCTGTGGATGTACTAAGTCCAAGATAAACCATGTCCTAAATCTACATGCCCATAATATCTCCAGTTACCAGACCTGATTCTGATTCAAATTGAGCTCAATAGCCTGCAATTCTCCCACAGTGTCAGGTACATTTTGGATCTGGTTTTTGGAAAGATCTACCACATCCAAGTGGTGAAGACCACAGAGTTGTGCAGGCACAGTCCGAAGCTGGTTTCCAGAAAGGCTCAGGGTTTTGAGAGCTGAAAGTTGTCCAAATGCGGCCGGTAGCTGCCTCAAGTGATTGCCATTTAAGTGTAGTGTTTCCAGTTTTTTCAGTTTACACAGCTCCTCAGGTAAAGCAGCTAGAAATGTATGACAGAACAGAGATTACCTAAACAAAAAACAGTAAACATTGATACCCATTTAATTCAAATAAGCTTCCGCATGGAAAATGGTGCTATATAACAGTAATTTCTCGCAGGATTCCTCCCTATTTTCCAATGACGGCACTGATCACTGCACAGAAACTTCAGGCCACTAACAACACATGCTTTTTAACCACCTCCTATAAATATCTTAACTGCAGACAAGGCAGACCTTGCCTTTTTCATAGGCTGGAAACACAACTCTGATAGGACTTTATACTATCAGTTATATATACTCTTTATTAACCAGTTTGCCGATGTATTGACATTTGAAGATCTACACAATACACAGCTTCAGGTCTGCTGCAGCCTCTTAAAGGTATTACTTAACTCACTCAAAAGTAAGTTCTCAGATAATTCATACCATATCATACCAGCATATAAGCCTCACCAGGTAAGCTCTGCTGGCGTTCATCCATCCCTCATTCTACCTACACATGTGTATAACCTGCAGCACTCCTTGAGTTCCATTATAGAGTCAAAGAGGCTTGTAAATTGCATTTGTTTTTCAAAAAGGCAGATAATACACAACGCATAAAAAAGTTAGTTTCTTCACATCATCCTAATTTTACCTTAAAGTTGGATGTTTGTCCAACAGAAACCATGACAACCGTTGAATGGCCAGTAACATTTCCTACAGATCATCTTCATTACCTGTTCTCTACGCAAGTACTAAACCACCTGACACTATTAAACGTTCAGATCAGACAAGTCACAGCACAGAAACGTTTTATGGTTTTAAGTACTTACGTGTCATTGTAAAACTGATAATACAACTAAGTTGGCAACTAGTTTTGAAGAATTTATGGTTTGGGGTTTTTTTTCCTGTACACGAATTCCAAAGATTTCAGTTTAGATGACTAAATTCCCCATTTACATCCTGTGAGAGTTAAATCATTAAATTTAGTTTCTGATCAGAGAAGCCAGGTCATTATTTTTAATATCTGTGGAAATATTAATTAGCAGGCATACTCAGTTTATTGTTGTTTAGAACAAGGCTCTTCAAAAAGGAGAATTTTCCAATGAGTGGTGGCAAAAGCTCTATTTTGTTGTTCGACAAGTCTATCGTCCTTAAGTTGCTTGTTAGTTTCTGCAGATCTTCAGGAAACTATGGGGGAGAAAAAATATACAGCATTTAAATAGTTGATACAACTCTGAATGTTCAAGTTACACAGCTTAAAATTTTAATTTAAATTTGTATCACTATTACATACTGTCATATGTATCACAATGTCCCATCACCACAGTCTGCAACTAAGTTGGCAAATTTGCTTAATATATGTATATTTTTTTTAAATATTTTTTTATCTGAGGAAGGGAAAAGGGATATAAAGAAGACAGGGTAACATCCGGGAAGACTGTTTTTTAAACCAAGGAATTTATATTAAAAAGGGAGAAGGAAGTATACCATGACACGAGCTCATTTATGTTTTAGTCCTCTTGTGTGTTTCTCTTAAACGTGCCTATCATTTGAAAATATTCTACAGCTAGTTAACAGCTCTGTATTTAGCAGAGTAGGATTGGAAAATTATTCTCTTGCTTTTCTGTTTAAATAATCACGTAAACCATTTTCCTTATACTTATTTACATCCTGTACCACTTTAATCTGCACTTGGCACTGAGCTGAAAAAAAGAAAAACCTGGCAATCACCATCAGTAAGTCCCAGTGAATAGACCAGTGGTTTTGATTCTCCTTTGCTTTGGCAGAGGAAAAGAGAAGAGGGAAAGTAGGACAATGGAACCAGAGACGTTAGCAAAGTAATGGAAAATTACTGCAATATAGAGTTATTTTCTCTATCCGGTGAATTGTTACTCAGCTCATGGTTCCAAGACATTCTGTGTTTTTCTGCACCTGATTCAAAGTCAAGACAATTTCCGACATAATAAACCTGCTCAGTGAACAGCCTGTAGAGACTATTCATTACAATTAAATACAGCATTAGTATCTAAACACAACTAATTGTGGAATATCTTTCTAGGTAACAATACAGTTATAAAATTTACATTTTTTTCATTCAAGTTTACAGCCTTTTTTCAAAAAGCACAACATCATAACTAGTATTTCTTGAGCATACGTGCACTCTAAAGCATAAGCTCATAAGCATACAAGTGCCTTGACAGATAAATCCTCAATCAGAAAACAGTGGAAGCAAAAATATGTTCTGCAAAACAAAAAAAAATAGATCTCGAAGTAATATTATCCATCACTATTTATGAGAAATACATATAGGCAGTGCATTATGATAATGAGGTGAAAATTTCTCTCCAAAAGCATCAGCCATGCACACAAACAGCCACGTTTCCACTACGGTTACATTACCTCTGTAAGTTCCTTTCCCGTTAGCTGAAACACACCAGTTTTCTGTGCTGTCTCCAGGTGGGCTTTTAATGCACTATTTCCCATCCTAACAGTTCTCTATCAAGTGTACAGCGTTCAAGTGGTAGTCTCAGCCAGTTTATCTCAGTTGTTCTTAGCTACAAAACTACAATCCAAAGTCTCTGTGATAAAGCAAATGTGGAAAGTCATTTTACGCGTGCTCTTTTCAAACACTACCAGTATTTCAATACAATGAACCGTTTCACTGCTGCTTTTTTATCTCCCTCATAACTAGAACCTAGAACTTCAAAGATTTACCTAGCTTAAGATGCCTTCGTTATAGCAGTTTGCATACTGAAATGATGCAACAAGTATAGTCAAAACTAAGTGGAAAAAACTGCCTACTTCCCACATTTTGCCTCTTCTAGGGCCCAGTAGTGCAAGAAGATTCTCCGCAGAACCTGCCCGTGATTTTAGTGGCACTTACCAGCACTGACCTGGTTTCAATACTACAGTTTTATCGGCTTTTTTGGAAACGTTTGTTTCATTCAGAGGCTTGACCCCTTTGCTGCGACTCTAGATGCAGACACACGACACCCACCTCCCGTAACGCCAGCAGGGTTTCATCCCCAGGACGAACTACGCCGGGTTAGGAGCCGAAGGATTCGCGCCAGCTCTGCAGCCGGGAGGTGGGGAACGGAGCCCAGCGCGGCGCGCAAACAGCAGGGGCGAGGAG